TCTCATTTTTCACAGATTATCTGCCCTAATTCAGTACTGTCAGGATATAGTGAAAGTTTCAGCAAATATGACAAAAAATATTTTTATAAAAATTACCCACGGCAGCTTTAATGTCCAAATATCCATTATCTTTTAACTTTCCAGGGCTCAACAGGAGAACCAGGTTTTCCAGGGCTGCCAGGTGGCATGGGCATGCCGGGGTTCAAAGGTCACAAGGTAGGAATAGATTAATACACTGGCATACACAATCAAAATAAAACAAAATGATCTGCGTGGTTTCATTTGGACTTAATAAAGTCTACAATTGTCAACAGAGGCGACACTTCATGAATGATTTATAGCTCTGGCTGTCAGGACTTTGTACATTTACATGTTGTGCTGTCGAAATGTTAACATAATACATGCTTGTTAATGTATTATTCATTTTTTGCTTAGATGACATGATTCATTTTAATGGTGCTGAAGGTCGTCCTTCATGCGCGCAGTACAAGCAATCCTAATCCAGATCAGTGTGATTAACATATTGTGCTTTGTTTTCTGTACAGTTTTCTGTCAGCTGTCATAAGGCCTCAAACAGCATTTTGTTATTTAGATGTCACTATGTCAGTGTAAAACAACAACCTGAAACTACTGTCGGACACACTCTAATGTTTGGTGTTGTATTTTTAGGGGGAGAGAGGAGAGGCGGGCTCTAAAGGATCCCAGGTATTGTACTTTCTCTTCTACTGGAAGGTCATGTGCACACAGCCATAAGAATATATGTATGATTTAATATGGGTGTGTCCAGAAGGGGGCCATCCTAAGTGCCACCCCATTATCATTACGTCTGCCATTCCAGACTGTCTTTCAGAGGCCGTAGCTCTGTTTTAAAATTAAAGTGAAGATACTGGTGTCATATGAAACTAGATGACCTAACACATCCATCGGTACCACAGTGGAAATAATGTCATGCTAGCATGTCGGGAAGAGGCTAAACAATGCTCCAAATTTGGGCAAAACTTTGGCAATCGACTGGCATGGCCATTTTAAAAGGGATCCCTTTGACCTCTGACCTCAAGATATCTGAATAAAAAAGTGGGTTCTATAAATACCAAAGGGTCTCCTCTTTGTAGACGTGCTCGACAGTTATGTGCAAAAAACATGCAAGTGTTTTTATGCCTTGTGTATTTGAATATTTCTGCATACTGGGGTCCGTAAACAGTGTTGGAATCGCATAAATGGGGTATGAATTGAAAGCTGAGACACATCATGCCACCACTGCATAAGTCAGAGCCCCACTTGTGCCACCAACGTCAAACGAGTCTGGAAACACCCCCTGCAAACAGTTTCTGTATTAAAGTATAAAACTTAATTGAGAATGAATTAACTGCAATTAATTTAGGTACTAATGATCTTATCAGTGTTGGTAAACTAGAGCGACGAGCTGATGAGAGCACAGCGAGTAAACAGGCAGAATCTGCTGAAGTTGGAATGAGCCACGAATATTGAAAACCTTGTCCAGTGCTATATAACAGTGGTTCCCAACCTTTTTCCTTAAAAGGGGATTCATTTTATGGATATCTGATATCTTATATTCAATGCATAACAATAACAGTACAGAACAACTGATAAACTATACAATGAACCCAAACAGTGGACACAATAACTGCAGTACGTTTGTGTAAAATGAGGGATTTGGATCAGTTATGAGTTTTCCTGATATTTTTAGGGACTTTTAATACAATTCTTTGTCTGTATAATGTATTTTTTTAACAATTATACATAATAGATTTCTTTTTAGACAGAATTACTGTTTTATTGTCCCTGACTCTTGGCCATTTGTCTATTAGCTCGTTGGTGGTTTTAACTGCGTACGTTCTAAATGCAGAGACAAGGCAGAGTGAAAGCTCTGAATAGCTTGTGTCCAGGTCTTCAACGTGCCCTTATCCTGTCTATATCTTAAAAAACAATTCTATTTGGTTTCTTGACAGAACTTCATTAAATTTTGAGATGTAGATCAAGTTTATTTAGAAAAAAAAACAAATCAAAAACCAGTGCTATACTGTACATCAACCAGTAACACAGTATCACTCAATATACATATATATACGTACAGTGGCTCTGATGAAATACTTTACATAGCATTTTACATATAATCTTTTAAATAGGTGCTTTAGAGGCGTAAACAAACACATTTATGTTCACATTTGGTATTTTTCACCAGGATACACTGTATGTGTCTTAGAGGCCTAACAAATGTGTTAAATGTATCTCCTTCACCATAAATCATTTGCAAAGACATTTTTTGGGGGTATTTGGAACCAGAATTGTTTACATCAGTTTGCAGTCTTCTTTAACACAGCCTTTTACAGGCTCATTGCTTGCATAGCATATATAACCTTCTGTTCAACGTCAGCAAAACCGAGGAGCTGATTGATGATTTTAGGGAAAAACTTCAGTGGAACTGAAGTGGAACAGGTGGGAATCAACATCACAAAGAGCCTGTCATGGACTTCACACATCCCTACTCTGGTTTAGAAAGCACAGACTGTATTTGTAAAGGGAACTTGAGAAAGTAAAATTACCGTGCCAAGTTCCTGTTAACTTTTTACAGAGGAGCGATAGAAGGCATCCTGACTGGAAACATCACAGACTGGCATCATGGGATGTGTGCAGAATAAGAAGAATAAATTAACATTGCACCTTGAACTGTTGGTGGGAATGTATGCTGCATTTCCCATGTCCTTGTTCACATCAATGTACGTCCATGTGTGCCGTCATGAGATACAAACAAAACACGGACTCAGCAGCTGATCGAGTGACCTAATACTTCATTCATGAATATAGTTTAATATAATAGAACATTGAAATGTTTTTGAAAATGCATATTTATCTTATGAATTTGAAAGTAGGCCTATTATGAGACCTGTCTTGTACATTTGTTATTATTTGCATAACCCTGTTACAGCTGTATTGTTGTATTACATTACATCATTCTGATGAGGGGAAGCGATCCAGGAATACTGGAAATGCTGATGTTATTAATTCCTTAAACTGACAAAGAATTGACAAGACGTAAAAAAAAAAAATCATCTCCCTAAGCCAGTGGTTCTCAACCTGGGGGGCTTAATGGGGGGTCACCACGCCTTCTTGATTTTAGGATGTAAGAAAAATAATTTTGTTCACTTTTGTGAAGGAACCTAATCAAACTTATTTTTAAAGTTTAGATTTTATACAAGATTTAATTTTTTAAGACCTAAACACAAGCTATATTCACAAAGCCTTCACTCTCTGCTAAACATCTTCATCCTGCATTACAAAAGTATGCAGTTAATACAACGAGACAAGAGCTAAGAGAACAATGGCCAAGTGTCAAGGAGAAGAAAACACACACAGTCTTTCTAGACTTGTTAAAAATGAAAAAAAACACATTATACAGATAAAGAACTGTATAAAAAGGTCCTAAAAATATCAGGAAAAATCATCTCTGATGCAATATCCACTTCTCTAAACAATGGTCTGAATGGCTTCAAATAGTCACATTTGAAGACTGCAGAAACTGAATGTGTAATTTAAATTGATGTCATAATGTAAACTCCTACTCACCTCATTACAATCTCAACATTTCCAGAAATACATGCATAAAAAATTAAACATGCCTAAAGGTTGAGCAGTGCAAACCAATGTAGCATATTTGAACCTGATTATCATATACCATGATTAGTGATTCAGATATATTACTTTTTCTTTGGTTGGCATATTTTATGGGGTTACGTTGCACTGATTTACATCAGCTTCTTAGTGTTAATTAGGATATGTGGGATGTTTAAGTAGGCTCAGATATCTTCTACTTCAGCCAATTCAAACTAATGTAATCACTTTATTCACTCTCAATGCAGTCACGTCTAAACTGTGCAGTATGTGCTATATTTTATTCATGTTTTTTGTTAAATATGTATCCATCCTGGCTTTTTATCCCAGCGTGAACACATGAGCACCTCAACACTGTAGCAACAACATGCCACCCTGTTGTACTTCTACCATTGTGAACACAGCATCAGCCACAAATTGAACAATCAAAGCATGCGATGGATGCTCTGATTCAGTTGCTTCCCTTTACATGCACTAATGGAAAAACAGTGTGAGAGCCCAGAGGAGTAGAGAGAGGAGAGCAGTGTGTTACTGTGCTGCAGGATGCAGTTGGAAAGCCACACACGAGATAAAAAGTCAGGTTTGTTAAAGGTCACCACTAGCCAATTCCTATCCCCTCTCTCCCCGGGTTTCTCTTATTGGCTGCTAGTGGTAATCATGACCTTTTCTCCACACACACACACACACACACACACAGAATGAAGACATGGACCAGCACACAGTAATACATACACACCTAAATCGACGCACACTGTTGTTGTACACATTCAATCTCACCCTTGCACTCACACACACACACACACACACCACATGAAGCTGTACCGGCACGTATGTAAACAAACTCACAGAAAACCTTCAGTTAATCATGATGTATCTCTTTGCAGGGGGAGCGAGGCAGAGATGGAGATCCAGGGACTCCCGGTGTACCTGTGAGTGTAAAGTCATTCTGCTTCCACTTGGTGGCAGTGAAGCTTATCTTTCTACAGGCTGAACAGTTTTAAATATGTGTGTTTGTCTGTGTATGTGTGTGAAGGTACGGGGACAAAATGTCCCCGCAAGGGCATGAGGATGAGGAAGAATATGTTGGCCAGTTCTCACTTAGAAGGAGCTAATTTGGGGTTAGAGCTTGAGTTTACATTTCTTGTGATGTCTGTCTGTAGTTAATGTCATTAATTGACTGATACAAGTCACCGTAAAAACTTTATCACAAGATAAATATGATAATAATAAACTCTACTAATATAACACCTTCCTGAAAGTAAACTTTACAAGGTGCTTCACAAGATTAAAATCAGACAGCATATAAAAACACATAAAAATGAAATAAAAGACGAAACAGGAAACAGTACAAGCAAACAGCAGTACGGGGGAGGATGAAATAAAAGCAAAAACAGACTAAATGAGAGGAGACAAAATAAAAATGAGAGAATAAAACAGCATGGAAGCTCCAGACGGTAATATAAAATCATAAAATCAAATAAAATGTAGTCTGAAAAAGTAAACTTTCAGCAGGGACACAGGATGAGGTAACTGAGTTAGATGAGCTAATCTGTTTAGAAGAGTTGTTCCAGAGTCTCTGGCCCCGCTTTGGTGTTTAGGCTCAACCTGAGAACAACCATATGAGGATCACAGTGTCACGGCTCAGAAAATCAGACTTACAGTTTGAGGAAACTTCTAGGCGCTCTAACCAAACATGGCAAGGTGAAGGCAGGATGGCAGGTCAGAGACAGGCAGAAGGACTACACTAGCATTTACAACCGGACAAATTCACAACAAAATCTATTTATTTTAAAGGAACTGCCATGATCAGTGGGTTTCCTTTGCTGGAGTATAAACTGCATGGTTGTTAGACAGTTATTAGACGTGCAGGTAAAAATACATCTCTTGTATAAACTCCCATTAGCGACTGAGCTTGTGTGGAATATAATATTCATAGGTATGATTTCATTACTGTATAATCCCCTGAAAATAATTAGCAGCCGCCATGTTTAACTGCCATATTTCTACAGTAGCCCAGAATGGACAAACCAAACACCGGCTCAGGCCTTTCATGTTTTTTCCCAGCCACCATAGTCTCTCCTACAAGCTTGGCAAGGAGGTTACAATTTGATCACACTGATCAGTTATAACATTATATGCAGGTGTTCCCCTCTTAGGCATTTTTTTTTAGCAGGTTGGGGGCAGGCCTGTGCCGAACCAACCCCGTCCCATCCTTCCTGCAAACGTTTTACATATGAAACAGAACTGACACTTCGCTGCCCAACACAAGCATTTTACGCGCTCCTCCTCACTTGTTTTCTAGTGCTCTTGATACAGGACGTTGGAGAAATGACAAGCGATTGAACCGATTCGTGGTCCAATTTTAAAACTGACCCGACCAGCGTGGTGACGTTATTTGCTCTACACCCCGGCCTTATCGCACTGTGGAGGCTGTTGTGCGTTAATAGTCGATTTGGAAGAAATCAACACCAGACAGTACTGTGGAATTAAACTCAGTCCTTTCAGAAAAATGTGGAGTTTTTTTGTGATTTGTTGCGGTTGCAAAATCCGTTCTGCATTAATGCGACACGTTTCCGTAAAAGTGCGGATGGAATATGCAGATATTTTGCCATTTTATGCGATGCAAATTGCGGGCAGAACTTGCAAAATTGCGGCGAACTTGCACAACACTGCCGTTTTGGAGTGAAAAAGAGAAAAAAGCTGATATCCCCCGACACCCTGTTCTCATCTTAGGCTACTTACCTTAATGATAACGAGCTCATTTCTTATTACTTTTTTATTTTACCCTTTGATAAGCATCACTCATCCACAGAAAGTGCCGTGGAAATTTTAAGGTTCAACTACAACAAGTCCCCTGCTGAAAATGCAAAACGTGATAACTGCGACGATGATTTGTTTCACGTACGCGTAATTACGTCATCATAACTCACTTCATAACTCACTTCGCCGCCCCTTTTAACGTTCCCGATGGCCAACAGGCGGGAAAATGGCCTGCTCTTGGTGCTGAAGTAAACGCAACCATTTTTCAACTTTTCTTGGCTAAGATATATGTCACCTTTTTGCCAACGAAAATGCCAGGCGGATTATTGAATATCATTGCAAGGCCCCCCACTTATTGCTCGGAAATCGGCTATTTACGCTCGCCGAAAGAAAAACCGCAAGCAAAAAAAACTGGGGCGTATTTGCCAAAAAAATGCACCGCGCGCGCGGGGCCCCCGCATAAATATGCCCGGACTTTGGCCTGACTTATTGCATTGAATCTATTGCTCGCACATTAATTGCGTTTTTTCAGAGGGGACTGATTCAACTCTGAATAGTTCCTAATAGTTGTTAAATTGCTACATGGCTGGCAGCGGCAGCCAATGGGGCTGCATTATGTCGGCAGGATCATTTAACCGTGACTACATTGTGCGTCTGCCCCATTTCTGATACCGTGGCGGCAGAAATTTAACAGCAGCGGGCCGCCGCTCCAAAATCAACATAGAGGAAACACTGTACTATTACGTTGTTTTCTTTCACTACTCCTCCCAGTTTCCCATATGACGCCCCTTTGTCTTGTGTTTCTAGAGTTTTGAGTTTTTATGAAACTGTAAATATGTAATATTTCTTAAAGGGTGTTTGGCTTAATCTTTTCCCAGGCAACAGGGAGCTTGGTTAAATTCAAACTGAACTGCTATGTGTATGTCTTTATGTTTAGTTGATATAAAAGTTGAGGCAAAGAAATGATTTGCCATCATTGGGGAAACAATTTTGTCTGGAATTGCACCAGAGGGAGAAGGGGGCACTGATTAAGCAAATCCCCATGGTATTTAAAGAACTCAAGCAAAATGCAAAGTATTTTGTTCCATTTTATTTAGATACAGTCTCGAGAATGGCAGTGGCTGGTGGTAAGAGGGGCACCACAGAGTGTTGTCAGCCAGGCCCCAATTTCGTTTTAGTATATTTGTTTATCCGATACTGTAGTGGTGATAATCATAAATACATACAGTATATCCAGTTAGAAGGAGGCATCATCATACTGTCAAGTTATTTAACATATTGGCCATAATGTTATGGGCACCTGGCCAAATATAATTTCAAGGAACTTGTGCTTTACTTGTGTATTTTCATGTTATGCTACTTTGTACTTACATTATATATTGTACTTTTCACTCTGTTACATTTATTTCACAGCTATTAGTTACTTTTCAGATCAATATTTTATAAAAACATTTAATCATCTTCATAAAATAACTAAAATAGCATTGTTACAAATTAGACTACCTAAAGGTATAGCTAAATTGTTAAGATTCATGTTGACAACATGCTGATTACATGTACATGTCAATAAATCATAATGAATATTCCAATAATTTGTGAAAAATATAACTCTCTAAATGGGGACACTTTGCATAATGACTCATATAAGTAAGACTTCTTTACATCATGAAAGGCCGTTAGACTTGAGTACTTCACACGCACAAATGTACAGGTGTCACCAGCTTTTTTTGTAGCTTAGAGTGATAAATCGTCCCAGCGTACTTTGCTGTCAAAATATGTACCTGCTACGCAAAAAAGAAGTCTGTATTTCATCTGTGTGCGTTTTATATTTCATCTGAGGACTGAGCTGTATTTTGTGATCTCCCCATCTGGTTTTGCTTGATACCATGTCTGTAAAACATGGGGAAATATGTGTAACTTTTTTGTTTTCAGCCAAACGCTGGTACAATATGCAAGTGGCTGGTAGATTTGCTTCACTCACCAGCCAAAAAAAAAAACCAACAGTAATGTATTGAATAGCTGGTCAAATTTGACCATCCACTAGCTGTTTGGCTGGTGGACAAAAACTGTATTTTGCACCCTGGTTCTAAACCACATTCATGACAAAAGCCACTACAGCTGTCGCCAGATGTACAATGGAGAATTATAGCTTGTTGAACACCTGTTGAAGAAAAGTATAGAGTATTCCTTGTAACAATCTCAGTGTAGTTATTAAGACTTCCTGGGGCCTTGTCAGTGGATGTCTGTACACCTATAATAAGGTGCGTTGTCCCTTTACTACAAGTGTCACAGCTGCACACGTTTATAACGAGAGAGAGAGAGAGAGAGAGAGAGAATGCACTCTGACCAGAGAGATGAGTCAGCTTACACAGCTGACATTAAATAACAGACCCTCAAACCATGCCCACAGACACACACAGGCACAGAAAATAATAATATATACACAAATGTTGTGGTGCTGTTCACCCTACAGAACGGAAATATACAGCTGAGAGTAGACACAGTGGACTCTGGGTGATCACACGGGAAACTGAATACGAGTGCATCAGGAGGAAAGCAACAGTGACAGATGGGGGAGGAAGAGACAACAGCCATTCTTGAATTTAACTGTTAGTGTTAAGTTTCGCTTTCCAACCCACAAGTACAGTTAAGACTACAGGCACTCACTAAATTAACCAGTGTTTGAGCCAGGTTGTCTATGAGGCAGTCAAATGGGCCTAAAAGTACTGTCTGTCTGTCTGAGGGGAACCATAAAGCAACAATGAACCACTTCAGAACCACTTTCACTGCTCTGAGTACCCGGGCCTCCATTCAATGGATGACGTTACCTTCGTGGTTATTCATACAACTGGGCCATGTTGGCTGAATTTAATATCAAAATGTTAATATGAATATTTTTCAGATACACCGTATATTACAATGACTGCAATATTATGTATCAAACTGTTTGTTTGTTTGGTGGAAATAACTTTTCCACTGTTAAGATTTTTAATTACAGTCTGCTTGGAACCATTACACTGAACAACATGATATGATCAGTTATCAATCCATTGACAGTAACACTAACTTATTCACCAGCTGTGGTTAGTCAGGCTAGCATGCAAGGGTAATATACACAAAGATCTGCATGAATGTGTGTGTCATTGATCACTGACATAACACTGGAAAA